AACGCTTTCAATCGTAGGTTTCTTCCCCCCTGCCTCCCTCGCAAACCACATCGGTTTTGTAAAGGACAAAACCCCCACAGCGAGGCCTTAGGTTTTTCTCTTCCCCCCTCTTCTGGGCCGCAGAACACCAGCGAGTCTGCCGCCCCTTCTACGATAGGCTCTCCCCCCTCCCCTCTCGATGCCCCTTTTAGCGAACCGGAACTGCTTGCTGCGCTGCGTAGTACACCGTTTGGCAAGGCCCCCGGACCGGACGAAGTCCACAGTGAGGCACTGCGACATTTGTCGTCGAAGGGTCTCCGATTTCTTCTCCGATGCATAAATCACAGTTGGACGACAGGAATCATCCCGGCCGAGTGGCGACGAGCGACCATCGTCCCACTCCTGAAACCTAGTAAGTCGCCTGAACGGTTGGAGTCGTACCGTCCCATCAGCCTTACTTCCATTATCAGTAAGGTAGCCGAGAAAATGGTACTGAGGCGGTTCCTCTGGGTGTGGACGCCCCACCCCCACCAGTATGCGTACCGGCGTATGCATACTACGACGATGCAGCTTGCCCATTTAATGCATGAAGTCGAGAATAACAGAAATGACTACTTCCCAGTGTACCTTCCCAAGAAGAGCGGTGTTGGCAGTCAACTCCACTATAGGTCCCACCGGACTCTACTGGTGCTGGTTGACTTTAGCAAGGCCTTTGACTCCATTGATCACCGAGTCCTTGGTCGCCTGCTTGCCAACACTCCGGGGGTGAATTGCCGAAGGTGGCTTCGAAATTTTCTGTGTGGTCGATATGCAAAGACAAGAGTTGGGAGTAAACTCAGTGATCGGCGTCCCATGTTGCGAGGAGTTCCCCAAGGATCTGTGGTGGGGCCGTATTTGTTTTCCCTCTACGTGCACCCACTCCTCACGCTGCTGAACCGCTTTCCCGGTGTCTCAGCAGACATGTACGCAGATGATCTCTCCATCATCGTTAAGGGCCAATCTCGGGAGGAGGCAATCCCGATTGCCAACGCAGTTCTGGAAAAGCTGCATGTGTGGAGTCAGGACAACGGTTTGGCCATTAATCCGTCCAAGTGTGAGGCAGCCTGGTTCACACTCTCCACGCACACAGCGTCAGACTCTGATCCGGAAAAGAAATGGCCCCTGGTGGTTGCCGGCTGCGAAATCCCAGTGGCCACCATGGGGTCCGCTCGCAATCCGACGCTTCTTGGGATCGATCTTGATCCTCGACTGGCGCTCAACAAGGCGGCCACCAAGCAGTGTACTGCCACCTCGCAGAGAATCGCGCAATTGCGCTCCATAGCGCATAAAGAGGCTGGCCCAGCCCCCAATGACCTACGCACTTTTGTTATTGGGTACGGCGCCTCCAAGCTGCTTTACGGCAGCGAGCTCATTTGGGCTGCGACGACGGACTCTGCGAAGAATGAGATGCAGCGGACATATGCGTCTCTGGCACGCATTGTCAGCGGAGTTCCCAGCACCACCGACCCGGAATCCGCTCTCCTGGAGGCCAACATGCCTCCGCTTCATGTCCTGTGCATACGCGCTCGCCTCTCCATTTTTGAGCAGCTGCGTGCATGCAAGATGGACTGGTTGCGGAAACCTCCGCC